TTCTACCAGATTTCTTCCGCTCAGCTCTCATCCTCACCCCTCGTCCCCAGAGCAGTGCCTCTCTCCTCCTCAGTGGCCCTGGTCAAGACTAGGCCTCTCCGTATAGGTATAATGCCCCAAGGCTCTGGGGTGGCCTGAAGGGCTAGATCCCTTGGAGAGCAGAGGTGACATAATATTGACAGCTGACCATCACGGACACTGGGGTCCCAAGGAACACTGAGAAGGAGTGGCCATTAACAACATTGGGCCCTCAAGGTCTCATAGCTTTTTATAAAAAAAAATGCCTTTATTGTATTGGGAGAGATTGTATATGCTTATTAGAAAAACTAGAATTTCCAAAAAATCCAAAGAAAGTCACGTAGGCCTTTTACTTCTCGAAATCACCCAGTGTCTCACCCCTGGAGAAAACCACTGCTGTTTTGGTGATGTCCCTTCAGATCTTCTGTGCATGTATACACGTCACGCTGAACATGCTAGACTCTGATTTACCATTTTCTCTAACAAAATATCAGGCTGTGGAAAACTTTCCATGTCAGTAAATATAAATCAACCTTATCCCTTTTAATGTCTGCATAGTATTCCATTGTATGAATGCACCAAAATTTACTTAGCTCTTCCCCACTATTAGTCCTTTAGCTTGTTTCCAACTTTTAGCTGTTGTACACAACATTGGGTTTCCACATTTTAATTTTTTTGATTTTTTAAATGTTGATTTTTTAAATTTCTAGTTATTTTTTTATTAACATATAATGTATTATTTGTTTTCAGGGGTACAGGTCTGTGATTCATCAGCCTTACACAATTCACAGCGCTCACCATAGCACATACCCTCTCCAGTGTCCATCACCCAGCCACCCCACCCCTCCCACCCAGTGTCAGCCAGTGCTGGGGTGCTAGGGCATCATCCTGGGCTACTAGAGGGTAGTCCCCAAGCACTCTCCCTGTACTTCACCTGCTTCGTCTAACCACCAGCCTTAGTGTGAGAAAAGAGTTTCAGACTCAAAATAGGAATACTCTTTTATAAATTGTGAAAGAAGGCCTATATATCTTTTCTTTTCTGGCTGACCACTGGTCCAGCATTACCTTCAAAAAGATCATCATTGACAAGTGGAGCTGGGGGCTGCAAGTCATCCCTTTGATTGTAGCAAAGCTCAATAGTGTTCTGAGTTCTATTTCCGCCAGAACACTCACCCTCCTCCATGGGTTCATCTAAAGCAAACGTTACTGATAAATTCTTTTTAGGCCTTAAACCTTCTTTCTGTACA